CAATCCCCTTTCCTTACGGGAAACACTACGATCGCCGTGAGCCTCGTTTCGTATGTTACGTCATCCTCTGCAACCCCCGACGTGCAGCCCCCTTCCTCCCTCCACATCCGGAGCGGGCGGCGGCGGCGCACCCCTCTGGCGTCGTCCATCACCCCCCCTCCCACATCCCCTCTCCCCTGGACCTTTGATCCAATAGTGCTCCATCACGGACGAGGGTGAGGTAGTGCTGGATGAAAGCTGCACCCGCTGCACTACTTGTCGGGGTGACACGACGCGTCCGCGTGGTGTGGTCGTTGCGCTGGGAAGAAAAGGCTGGCTCCTGGCTCCAGGACGGGAAAGTTTGCCACCGACCGAGAATTATACCGACGGAATAAAGGGAACCGTGTCCACTCACGGTTTCCTCTCTGCACTTTGCAATAAAAGTATATCGCGGATTGGCACAGGAGAGCAGGGGAGGCGCGCTCCAGCAGTTCGTTGTACTCCTTTGCTTCGGCCCTTCAGTAGCTGTAAGTCAAGCGGCCTCCCCTCCCTCTCCTCAATCTCCTCTCCTCTCTTCCTCTCCCTTCCGAGCGGGCGCCTCCCCCCCCCCCCCCTCCCTCTCTCTCCCCCTCTCCTTGCCTTGCGCTACCTCCCTGCCTCGCGCGTGGCTCACCCTGGCGGACGCCCGGCTCAACTCTCGGCTCGGCCGCGGCGATCGTGCAGTTGGCAGTTCCCCGAAAGCTCCGACGGGAGGTGGACTGAAAGCGGGCGTGTTGTGTGTGAATTTATATGTGTGTGTGTGAGTGAGAGAGGATAAGTGGACAAAGGATTGTTTGTGACGGTTTTCTGCCCGAAACGCCAAGATGTTTGACGTTTTTGGGTCCGTCAAGGGTCTGCTCAAGCTAGACTCTGTATACATCGACAACAATGTATTCAGGCTGCACTATAAAGCCACCGTAATCATTTTGATTGCGTTTTCACTGCTAGTGACCTCAAGACAGTATATTGGAGACCCCATCGACTGCATCGTCGACGAGATCCCCCTCAATGTGATGGATACTTATTGCTGGATCTACTCTACATTCACCATCCCCAACCGGGGCAACGGCCGTATCGGCAAGGATGTGATCCAGCCCGGAGTCGCGTCTCACACGGACCGGGATGAAGTCAAGTACCATAAATACTACCAGTGGGTGTGCTTCGCCCTGTTCTTCCAGGCCATCCTCTTCTACGTCCCTCGCTACCTCTGGAAGACCTGGGAGGGCGGCCGCATCAAGATGTTGGTCCTGGACCTCAACTGCCCTGTTGTAACTGAGGAGTGCAAGGAGGATCGGAAAAAGCTTCTGGTGGATTACTTCACCACCAACCTTCACCAGCAAAACTTCTATGCATTCCGCTTCTTTATCTGTGAAGCCCTCAACTTCGTCAATGTTGTTGGGCAGATCTATTTCATGGATCTGTTCCTCGACGGGGAGTTCACCACCTATGGGTCTGATGTAGTGAAATTTACCGAGATGGAGCCTGAGGAGCGTGGTGATCCCATGTCCCGAGTGTTCCCTAAAGTAACCAAATGCACCTTCCACAAATATGGTCCATCTGGTTCAGTGCAGACCTTTGACGGTCTTTGTGTGCTTCCTCTCAACATTGTGAATGAGAAGATCTATGTGTTCCTGTGGTTCTGGTTTGTGCTCCTTTCCATCGGCACTGGCCTTATGATGGTGTACCGTGTGTGTGTCATCTGCTTCATGAAGATGAGGATGTATCTGCTGCGCTCCCGTGCTCGTCTTGGTCCATTTGAAGAAATTGAAACCATCACAAAGAAGTGCCAGATTGGTGACTGGTTTATTCTGTATCAGCTGTCAAGGAACATCGACCCTCTTATATTCAAGGAGTTGATATCTGATCTTGCCAAAAAATTAGAAGGCAAGGAACGAGTTTAATATGTTCAATTGTCAGATTTTTGTGGAACAAATTATTGGGGCTCTTAAGTCAAGTCTTCATTTTATAGTTGATGGAGCTTAATTGAAATCATATCCAACCTGTGTTCTTCATTCCATACTATCATATTAAGCTAAAAGCCTCAGACTTCATAGTTCAAAGAATGTGTTCTGAGAAGGTATGAGAATAAATATTGTGTGTCTGCCTCAAGCAATATCTATTTGTTAATGTTGGAAGGAACCTTCCTGTGATCAACAAGCTCAAAGACTTGTCAATTTTTTCATTTATACTTATTCATTTTCACTCAATTTTTTTTTTTAATCAGGATTTCATTTTAGTATCTCAAAATCTCGAGCTTCCTGCTCATGTGTGGCAACTTGCATGCAACCCATGTGCTATCATGAGACAACCAGACTAGTCTCATGGTGCAATTGATGACTTGTGAAATATAGATTAAGTATATCCTGCCATTGATAATTGATGTAAATTTTTTATGTGTTAAATTTCTTGGGGCTGGTATGCTAATTTGTTTTGGTAACTTTCCTGTTCCAAATTTGTCTACAGTGGAGTTACATAACAATCATGCTGTACAAACTATTGATGTGGGGGTTATCTGACGTGAGATTCGTAAATCAAATCAGTTGACTAGAAAGCTTAATGCTAAAGTTATTGGCTCCCCCAAAACCTCACAAGACAAGACCATCAAATGCTTACTATTGTACACTTGGTCTAAAATCAACTGTATGAATTGAATGAATTTATAAACTGAATGAATTTGTGATTCGAATGAATTTATGAATTGAATGAATTTGTGATTCGAATAAATTTGTGAATTGAATGAATTTGTGACTTGAATGAATTTATGAATTGAATCAATTTATGAATCGAATGAATTTATGAATCATTGCTTGGCGTTAATTTTCAGTTTGTACAATTTAAACTAAATGGCAGAAGTTCCTCAAAGAAGCACTGCCAAAACTACATCAAGGTTGGGTAACCTTTTGAAAATTAATCATGTTTGACATGTTGTAGTTCATAGTTGCCAGCTAAATGTTTCTCCATTGTAAATAATTATTGTAAATACGATCGTAAAGTGAAAATTATGTCCTTCTTACAGGGGGTGAACATTCAATGAATTTATGATTGCCGAAGATCTCACACTGCCCATTGTAGACCTTATTTATATTATGTTTGTTTTTCTCTGACAGAAGGGTATTTTATTGTTTGATTCTTTTTTAACTTTGAACCCACACTGTTATGTCATTTGAGGTTTTGGGACCAAACACATCAGTGGGCTTCCTCCATTTCTGTTTCAAATAAAGTAGACATATACTCTTGACATTGACAGTATGGAAAAATTTCCCCTCAATTTTCTTGTTGTGGGGCACAAATATTGTTTGTGAATTTCCTTTTTTTTTTTTTTACTATCTGACTCATTTTGGTTTGTTTACCAAAGTAAACTGACATCGTTTCTGTTTGTTCCCCTTGCCATTATTTTGTTGGGGTTCTCAAACCAGACTAACATTGACGTGCTTGGCTGACAACTTATCAGAGCAATTGCAGTTTCAGTAATTGGAAGGTGAGGGATTGTTTTTATTCCTTTCCCTATGTTTTGAGTTTTATCCACAAATTAAAGGAGTTTTTGAAACAATTTTTGCTTTGTGATATTTGTCTACATTATCACTCATTCTGCAGAAGACTCATGAATTTGTTCTCTTTGCTGTTATGATGTGAGATGCATTGTTTGTGTGAATATGTGTGTGTGCATGAGTGCTAATTTTAAAGAGATGTACACTGTTATCAAGATTGTGATCTTAGTATATTATATTTAGTTTATTGTATTTTTTTACTTCTGTGTAAAAATTATTTAGGAATTATCTTTGCTGGGTTTTGTCCTGTAGATGGACAGATTGACTTGTTTCATGTGAGGAATGGTTGAGTTATAATTTTTAAAATCAATTTTGAGAGTTTTATTTATTCAAAAATTGTAATATAGGCTGCCCACTGAAAATTTTAAGAATTCTCTTTGTTAAAAGTAATGTACCCAACTGTACATTTCACATCCAGCTGCAGCTGTTTGAATGCTCATTATATAGTTCCCATTTCTGTGGGGTTGTTTTGAACATGAGCAGTTGAAACGAGTACAATCACCATATGTGCCTTCTCCAATTTGTACCTTTGTAATGTAGATTTTGGATTGTCATTATCAAGATTCCAGTTATTACATACAAGTCTGATATTAAGTATTAATTTTGAGTTTGCACAAAGTTTTTGTACTTGTATTATTGGGACCATATTTTACGCTTGTTTTGCTGAAAAAAAGTGCAGTCAATTAGGCAGTTTGCAAGCGCACTCTTTTCCCAGTTGAACAGAGCCAGCATATTCCTCTTACATTCCCAAGGCGAGGCTACATGAATTCTATCATCGTCTCATTGCTTTTTGCCTTGTACAGTTGTAATCATTTGTAAATTTCACTCAGTAACAAATAAATTTTACAAATGCTTAGTGAAATTAACCTTTTATGTTACTTTAAATATCCCACTTCCACAGAAAATGAGTTGTTTCAAATTGTAAAGAAATGAAGTCTTGAATCAACGAAACCAAGGGGAAATCTTAAAGAAATTATAAAATGTCTCAGTGATTATTTAAAAAATATTTACAAGTGGAAGGATCAGGCAATTATGCTTACACGATAAGCTCTTCAATAGAAATGAAGCGTATAATACACAAATCTCTAGTGTCCTACATGAACACAAAAGTACGTATGCCCCACACTGCCGTGAGTTTGAGAGTGTGAGTGTAAAGGGGGAAGGGGGGGG